TGTGTTTGTAGTTCTAATAGTAGTTTGGTTTTGTGTTGTTTTTTGTGTGTGGCAGCTTTTTTAAAGAGTCCTCGGAGAAGTAGTCCTTTAGTACTACCTTGTTGTTGGGTTTGTCTCCTCATTTGCATTGAGGGCAAAGTAGTCCTTTACTACCTTGGTGGTTGTGACTAGGTGTTCGTCTTTTAGTAGGTTAGTGTTTAGTTGCCATTTCCAATTGGAATTGTATTTTCTAGTGTGATTGTGACGTTGGCATGGTCTGACCAGGTTATGATGTTGATGTCGGTGTGCAAGACTTTGGTCATCCCTATCTTATTTAAAAGGAGGTTATCTATTCTTGAAAATGTGTTGTGAGGAGTGGAATAGAAGGTGTAATCTTGTTCGTCCAGGTGTTGTAGTCTCCATGCGTCTAATAGTCCTGTTCTGGTTAGGAATGCTTTCATGAGTTTATCTTGCCCCCATCTCCCCTGTGATCTGAGTGTCCCTGGCTATGGCTGGGCATGGTACTGCATTGAAATCTCCTCCTACCAGCAGTTTTTTGCCACCCGCTGTGGTAGCCAGGGTTTCTATTGGGGACCAGAAGGGGGCGTCTGGTTCGTTTGGTGCATATAAGTTTATGATGCAGATTTTTATGTTGTGGATTGTGCCTGTGAGTGCTATGTATCTGCCCTCCGGGTCTGCTTGGGTGTGGGTTACCACTATGGGGCACCATTTATTGATAAGTATGGCTACCCCTGCTTTCTTTCGTATGGCTCTGGCTTCATATGCTATGCTGAACCCTTTGTTAGTGAGTCTGATTGCTGCCTCTTGAATAAGAGCTATGTCTGCTTTTATTGTTTTGCGGTCTTTGAGGAGGAGCTTCCTTTTGTTAGGAGTGTTGAGCCCCTTTACAATGAAGGAAATTATTTTGAGGGTCATGTCTCAGTTGTTTGCTGCTGAGCGATGTGCTAGCGTGGGTATGGTAGTTCGGTGGATGGGTTTGGGTTTGGGTTTCGGTACGGGGGTTGGATGGGTGTGTTTTTACCCTGGGTCTCCCTCCCTTTCTCCCCCTTGGTAGATGCAGTGTCAGTGGTAGGTTAAGTTACAGTTAAAGGTAACAATGAAAGTAAAGGATATACAAACAATTTAACTCCAATGGCCTGGTCTTACTTGTTGCCAGAGCAGCCGGGGGTGTGAGCCCGCCCCGCAGGGCACGAAAAGGGTACCCTGTCAGGGAAGGCGTGCCACCACCCCAGTCCACCATGCATCAACGACACAATAGTTCTTATTTAGTCTGAGTGGTTTCTAAGTGCCACGTGATTGAGTCTGTCTGGAGGGTCTCTAGCATTGTAGTATTGAGGTCCTTGATGGCCTATATATAAGTATCGCAGTTTGAGTGTGTGCCTTGCATAGCGCAGTAGACGCGCTTACCCCTCTCGTTCCATTTCCTCCTCCCCCCTCGCTGACAGGACCTCGGCGGCTCCAGTGGGATCAAAAAGGGGTGGCAAGTGGCCCCCCCCAACAGTAATTTAACATGTCACCGGGGGGGGTTATCCCGGGTGCACACTACCCACGGTCCGCACTTTGGACCGCCCGAAGGGGCCCCCTCCAAATGCGGCTCCTTCTTCCCTCCAAATCAGACTTTGCGTTGTGTTTAACATTTAGCATTTAACATTGACAATGGGGGGCTGTGCCGGTCTGCAGTCTCTATTTTTATGTATCATGGGGACCCTCAGACCCCTCGTGGTTTCACCTCTTATGTAGTGGCTCCCCGTGTGTTTGTGCGACCCGAGCTGTGGGACCTCCCTGGGGTTAGCTGTGTCTTGGGGGCAGTTCATGAGGGGGAGAGTCACATAATACTGCCGTTTAGAGTGCTGGCAGTATCAATGTTCCTGCATCCGCAATGTCACTGGTCCCAAGTGGCCTCGTCGAGGGGTTCTGCCGTTGCTTCCCAGGCGTTAGGTAGGGCCGCCAGCTCCGGTCGGCTCTGTTGTGGAAGGGCGAAGTCTTGGGGGGGGTGTTCCCCTAGATGGAATCGGATAATTATGTCTCTGGGTGTTGAGCTAGATTGTTGAGTGCGCAGCGCTCTGTGGGCTCTGTCGATTACCCATCTGTCATCTGGGATGTTCGGTAGAAGGTGTTTGAAGTAGTGTTCCATTATGGCTATCAGTGGGCCATCGTTTGGTTTTTCTGGTAGGCCGTGGACCCGGAGGTTGTTGCGTCTGGATCTATTTTCTAGGTCCTCCAACATGAGCTCCAGGTTGCTCACCTGGTGGTCTAGGGTGCTGGTTTGTGTGGCCACCACGTTGTGGGCCCATGTAATCCTCTCAGCTTTGGTCTCTAGGGTGCATGTGCGGCCCCCAGTGCCTGTATTTCGGCCTTTACCTCCCTGGAGCTTCTAGTGATCTCTCCGGCCAGGTATCTGCGGACCTCTGCTAGTTTGGCTAGGATTTGGTTTGTGTCTCCCTGTGGGCTTGCCCATTGCATCCCCGTCAGTGGTTGAGGCTGGGAGCCGTCCGGGTACGCGCGGCAGCCATCTTGCGGCCTTCCCACGTTGCTTACCGCGGTAAACTGGTCCGCCACTGATGCCTGTGATTCTTTTCCTTCTCCTCGTTTCTTACGTGGTTTCGCTCCAGTTCGGTTTTCAGACATTATCTGCTGTGTTTAGGGCTGTTTGTGAGGTTCAATGCTGTTGGCAGGTGCTTGATGCTAGGTGGATGGTGTGGGAGCTCTCGGCTAAGGCGGCCATTCAAGTCGGTGGTCAAACCACGCCCCTAAAGGATAGGTTATTAAAGCACAAAGCAACGATAATGATTGGTTTAGTGAATCTTCCCCTTCCTGCCAACTTTTTGCTGTTCAAACATAACATATCCCAGATAAAATTCCAAATTACCGAACAAGTCCCAAGAGGCTTAAACTCTGAAGATGTCATGCCCTTACTTTAAGAAATTATTTTAAAATTGTTGTTAAATTTACTAAAAAAAAATATATATATATATATATATATATTTTTTTTTTTTTTTTCAGATTTCTATTCCTTATTTGTTTGGTGCTGGCTCTTCATTTAACCACCTTTTAAAATGAAGTGTCACCTAAATGGATGTCTTTGTCATTAATTTCTGCACATTTATGCCATGGATTTAATTTTTTTTTTCACCTTATATTACTTTACTTTGCATTATTAGTATATTAGCACTTTATTTAACCCCTTAAGGACACATGACATGTGACGTCATGATTCCCTTTTATTCCAGAAGTTTGGTCCTTAAGGGGTTAAACTTGTCATTTTATTCTTCTATTGCTGCTACCTAATAGTATACTTAATTGTATTTTTACACCAGATTAATTGTAGTGTTATTCATTTTATATGCACTTGACACATTTGAAAATAGGAGAGCTTCACTTACGCACTTTATATATCAACTTTTTTTTTAAAAACAATTGTTTCACGTTTTTAGCATGTATTATAATTTTAAGATAAAGTAGTTGTGGTCATCATCTTTATTTTATTAAGGGTGTCACTGTCACTTTAATATATTATCTTGTAAAATGGAAAAGGTTCCCTTACTCATATCTTATCTTAAAACAATACTGTTTTGAAAAAAATATTCTTATTTTAAATATTATTTTTTTCTTATTTATTCACTTTTATATATTTTTTTTACATATAATTTCATTGCTTGATATCTCCTGATTAGAGTTCAGCGGACACCTGGAGTGTTGGGTCCGACGGGTTCGGCCGAACTTTGAAAGAAAGTCTGTGTTCGGGATCGAACTTGACCCCGAACCCTAACCCCAACCCCAGTCAATGGGGACCCTAACTTTTGGCCACAAAAATGCCTCTAAAAAAGTCCTGGAAAGGGCTAGAGGAAGTAAAATGGGGGTAAGAGTAGGACAAGAGCCCTGCAAACAAATGTGGATAGGGAAATCACTTAAAATAACAAAAATTTTAAATACAGCTGAGCCATAAAATAGCACTAGATGGAATCTTTGATTTTAGCTTTGGAAGAACATCAATCAAAATCTAAAGCATGGCTGTCAGGAGGATCACCAGAATTATCAATTTGAGAGGGTTGGAGTGCAGGGTATTCTCTTTCATTGTTCAAACTGAGCTCAACTCCTGATTCATGGAGAAAAGGCTTTCACAAGCCTCTGCTATTGTGTACATAGTTTATACTAAGTGACCCATAGGTTGAGGAGGCGGTGACCGTGGCGGGGTAGTTGGAAGCAGCGGTGGAGGAGGAGGTAGCCAACACTGTTTTATATATTTATATAAACGGTAGCCTACAAAATATTGGGACATATAAAGAAAAACAACTCTGTTCCGCAGAACGACTGACCCGTGCGTGCTGCAGCTGAAACTCCACTATCGCCTGCTGCTGCTCACACAGTCTCATGAGGCGGTGAGTGGGAAGGCCGAAGTTACGCTGCAGTGCACACAGGCGAGCAGCATCAAGAGATGAGGAGGAAGTGCGCATGCAGGTGTAACAGCGCCTGGCATATTACCGAGAACCACCCTCAGAGGAGATTGTCAGCAGGACCTTTTTGGAGGTGCAAGCCTATGTCCTTGCCAATAGACAGGGCTACCTCCATAAACCCAGTTGAAGAAAGAAGGGAGCAGAGGGCGCCAGGAAGCACAACCACCCTGGCCCACAAGCTACCATACAATGCCTTCAAAGACTTCAAGGAAGCAGAAGAAGGCATCGATTACTTTTTACAAGACTGAGCGACAGTGCCTACTCCAAGATGTGGACCCCAGCGACTGGGCCACCATCCTGGCCAGCAAACTAGTGGGGAAGGCAGCGGATATTTACCGGGCTGTACCAGAAGAGCAGATCAGAGACTATCCCTTTATTACCCAAATCCTCCTGGCCTGGTATGCGGTCACCCCCGAGCAATACCGCCGAAAGTTTAGGGAGACACTGAAAGGGGAGAAGGAATCCCATGCGGAGTGGGCATGCTTCATCACAAGGGCCACTCAGAACTGACTCAACTCCCATCAAGCCAAGTTCCCGGAGGAGATCTCTCAGCTCGTCATGCTAGAGCACGTTTTCAATGGGCTCCCCAACGACAAGGCGACGACGTATTCGTATGTCATCCATATCAACTTTTGATGCCATTTACTTCGCCTACCATGGAGACCACGAGTAACGGGGAATCGGTTCGATTCCTGAGAGGGAGACTGAGCAACGGCTACCACATGCAAGGAAGGCAGCAGGCGCGCAAATGACCCACTCCCGACAAGGGAAGGTAGTGATGACAAATAACTTCTTTAGAGGCCCTGTAATTGTAATGAGTCCACTTGAAATCCTTTAACTCCGATTAATTGCAGGGCAAGTCTGGTGCACAGCGACTGACCTGTGCGTGCTGCAGCTGAAACTCCACTATCGCCTGCTGCTGCTGCTAGGCTCTCCAGCATGTGCAAGGTGGAGATCCACCTTGTGGTCACGTCACATATGAGGCGGTGAGCGGGAAGGCCAAAGTTACGATGCAGCGCAGACAGGGCGAGTGTCACATCCTGTTCCAAGTTGTGGGTCAGTCTGGTGATGGCTTCTGGTATCCAGTACTCTATACTGAAGCTGCATCAGGGTTCTGGTATGTGGCCGCACAAACGCTGGTGCTCAACACCAGGTGGCATGCGGTTACCCTGCACTAGACCCTGCTAATCTATTCCACACTGTGACTCCTAACTTCAACATCAGGCATACTGAGTCCCGGTCGTCCGACCGCCTCCCCGAGACATTGTCTGGGTTCCAGTCACCGGACTGCGAAACTGCGAATGGCTCGTTAAATCTGTTATGGTTCCTTTTATCACTCCACCTGTTACTTTGATAACAGGGAATTCTAAAGATAATACATGCCGGCGAGCGTTAGGGGACGGCCGCTCCGCATTTGCACCCTGCTCCCTCTTATGCTGTGCTGGTGCCTCTGTGCGACCAGCGCCTCTTCCTCCAAACTGCACACGTCACTCGCATGACCTTGATCTCCACATCATCCTCAACCCTGCCCTCCTTGCCGGTCTGCCCTCCTTGCCTGTGTTTTTCCAGCATGTAAAGTCTGCAAAGGACATATGGAAATTGTTTTAGAATTGTATCCAGGCAACAGTTTTCCCTATAAACCGACCTCTCAGTTTGACTTTGAGGGTATTGCCCCCGAATTACAATATTGTTATTTTGGTATTTGTCGGTTCTATTTGACTGTCGTATATGAAGTGCACCGCAGGCCGCAAATGTACTATTTAGCAGCCAAAAAAATGGAATGTTTAAAAAATGCTGTCACAGCACTATTTGACGCTTCTATTTGACTCTCAGATATGAAGAGCACGCCCCATATTTACTATTAAGCAGATTAGCACCCATAAAATAAGAATTTTTACAACTGCGCTGTAACTGCACTATTTGACTCCGATATGAAGAGCACGCCCAAAATGTACTATTTTGCAGTTTAGCAGCAAAACAATTAGAATGTTTACAACTGTGCTGTAAGCGCACTATTTGACGCTTCTATTTCACTCTCCGATATGAAGAGCACGCCCAATATGTACTATTTAGCCGTTAAGAAGCAAAACAATTAGAATGTTTACAACTGCGCTGTAAGCGCACTATTTGACGCTTCTATTTGACTCTCAGATATGAAGTGCACCCCACTAAAGTACTATTTAGCAGATTAACACCCAGAAAATAAGAATGTTTACAATTGCACTGTAACCGCACTATTTGACGCTTCTAATTGACTCTCAGATATGAAGAGCATGCCCAAAATGTACTATTTAGCACCAAAAACAATTAGAATGTTTACAACTGCGCTGTAACCGCACTATTTGACGCTTCTGTTTGACTCTCAGATATGAAGTGCACCCCACTAATGTACTATTTAGCAGATTAGCACCCAGAAAATAAGAATGTTTACAATTGCGCTGTAACCGCACTATTTGCCCCTTTTATTTGACTCTCAGATATGAGGAGCACGCCCAAAATGTACTATTTAGCAGTTTAGCAGCAAAACAATTAGAATGTTTACAACTGCGCTGTAAGCATACTATTTGACACTTCTATTTGACTCAGATATGAAGTGCACACCACTAATGTACTATTTAGCAGATTAGCACCCAGAAAATAAGAATGTTTACAATTGCGCTGTAACCGCACTATTTGACGCTTCTATTTGACTCTCAGATATGAAGAGCACGCCCAAAATGTAGTTTAGCAGCCAATTAGAATGTTTACAATTGCAATGTAACCTCACTATTTGACGCTTCTATTTGACTCTCAGATATAAAGAGCACGCCCAATATGTACTATTTAGCAGTTTAGCAGCAAAACAATTAGAATTTTTACAATTGCGCTGTAAGCGCACTATTTGACTCTCAGATATGAAGAGCACGCCCAATATGTACTGTTTAGCAGTTTAGCAGCAAAACAATTAGAATTTTTACAACTGCGCTGTAAGCGCACTATTTGACACTTCTATTTGACTCTCAGATATGAAGTGCACCCCACTAATGTACTATTTAGCAGATTAGCACCAAAACAATTAGAATGTTTACAACTGCGCTGTAACCGCAGTATTTGACGCTTCTATTTGACTCTCAGATATGAAGAGCACCCCACTAATGTACTTTTTAGCACCCAAAACATTTTAAGTTTTAAAACTGCAATGTGACAGCCGTATTTGACGCTTCTATTTGACTCTCAATTTTAAGTTTTAAAACTGCAATGTGATAGCAGTATTTGACTCTCAGATATGAAGTGCACCCCACTAATGTACTATTTAGCACCAAAAAAAATTGACTTTTTAAAACTGATGTAACCACAATATTTGACGCTTCTATTTGACTCTTAGATATAGTTACATAGCTGAAAAGAGACTTGCGTCCATCAAGTTCAGCCTTCCTCACATTGTTTTTTGCTGTTGATCCAAAAGAAGGCAAAAAACCCAGTTTGAAGCAAAATTTTGCAACAAGCTAGGAAAAAAATTCCTTCTTGACCCCAGAATGGCAGTCAGATTTATCCTTGGATCAAGCAGTTGAAAGATTATATCCTTGAATATTCTGTTTTTGCAAGTATTCATCTAGTAGCTGTTTGAACATCTGTATGGACTCTGATAAAACCACTTCTTCAGGCAGAGAATTCAACATCCTTATTGTTCTTACAGTAAAAAAAAACCAAAAAAAAAAAACCTTTCCTTTGCCTTAGATTAAATCTTCTTTCTTCCAGTCTAAACGTATGACCTTGTGTACTATGTAAAGTCCGGTTTGTGAATAGATTTCCACACAAATTGTATTGGCCCAGAATATATTTGTATAATGTTATCATATCCCCTCTCAGGCGACGTTTTTCTAAACTAAATAGGTTTAAATTTGTTAACCTTTCTTCATAGCTGATATGTTCCATTCCTTTTATTAATTTTGTAGCCCGTCTCTGCACTTTTTCTAGTGCCATAATATCCTTCTTTAGAACAGGTGTCCAAAATTGCACAGCATATTCAATATATGGTCTTACCAGTTATTTATAAAGAGGCAAAATGATATTCTCGTCCCGAGAATGAATGCCCTTTTTCATGCATGACAATACCTTACTGGCCTAGGCCACTGCTGATTGACATTGCATGTTGTTGCATAGTTTGTTGTCTATAACAATTCCCAAGTCCTTTTCGTGTGTTGTTATCTCTGATTCGCTTCCATTAAGGGGTATACGTTGTTTGTGCATTCTTTATGCCAAAGTGCATAACTTTGCATTTTTCAACATTTAATTTCATCTGACATTTGAGTGCCCAGTCCCCCAGTCTATCTAAATCCATCTGCAGCAAAGTAATATCTTGCTCACATTGTATTATTTTACAGAGTTTTGTGTCATCTGCAAGCACTGAAACATGACTTTCAATGCTGTCTTCAAGATCATTTATAAACATGTTAAAGAGAAGGGATCCCAGGACAGACCCCTGAGGGACACCACTTGCCACCTCTGTCCAGCTTGAAAATTTACCATTAATGACAACTCTTTGTACTCTGTTTTTAAGCCAATGTTCCACCCAAGAACAAGCATTTTCATCTAGACCGATTTCCTTGAGTTCGAACACTAATTTGTTGTGTGGAACTGTATCAAATGCCTTGGCAAAATCCAAATAGATCACATTCACTGCAACACCCTGATCTATACTACTTACTTCTTCGTAGAACGCAATCAAGTTAGTTTGACATGACCTGTGCTTCATAAAACCGTGCTGAATTTTGATGATAACCATGTTCTTCTCAAGGAATTCTTGAATATTATCCCTTAATAACCTTTCAAATATTTTCCCAGCCACAGAAGTTAAGCTCACAGTCTATAATTTCCAGGCAAGGATTTTGAACCCTTTTTGAATATAGGAACCACATCTGCCTTCCTCCAATCCTCCGGAACACTTCCTGAAAGAAAAGAATCTTGAAAGATTAAAAACAGAGGTTCACTTATTTCTACACTTAGTTCCTTAAGTACTTGTCAGGCCCTGGAGCTTTGTTTCTTTAGTTGCTGCAGCACCTTGTCTTGAGTTTACCAAATTTGATTGGTTTGCGTGGCCTATGTTGCCTTTGAGACCGTATGGCAGCCAAGAAATGAAAATTACCCCCATCGTGGCATACCATTTGAAAAAGTAGACATCCCAGGGTATTCAAAATGGGGAATGCCCAGTCTTTTGTAGTAGCCACTTGGACACAAACCCTAGCCAAATTTAGCGTTTTTGTTTGCATTTTTCATATAAAAACTGTACTTTCACTGATAATATTGTTAGTATATAGTTTACTGCCCTGAATCACTCCTAGTTCTGTTCAGTGATGTCTCACCAGCGCCAAGGTACCCCCATGTATAGGTTTTATGGGGTTTTGGAAAGTTACAGGGTCATATATACACCTTATCCATTTATGCTTTTTTACATTGAAATTTGGCAAAGTGATTTTATGGGCCTATATAGTATTTGAGAGAGCATGGCAGCCTGGGTAAGAACATTTCCACTATTATGGCATATCATTTTCAAAAGTAGGCAACCCAGAGTATAAAATGGTGCATTGTAAGATGTTTGGTCTAACCACTTTATCAGAAATGAAGGGCCCACATAGTGGTTATAGCTTTATTTGTGCTTTTTCACACACATGAACTCACTTTTCACAGGACATTTCATATTCCTGATATGGGTTATTGCAACAAAGCCTCACTATTTGTATTTAACATTGTCTCCTGACTGTAACAGTACCCCCATGTATTAGATTTTCTGTTTTGGGGGGAA